ACGCATTACTTGAGGAGTGGGGGCGGTTGCCTCAAGAAATCATCGATAACATAATCTGTAGCATGCCCAGACGAATGGAAACCGTAATCAGAGCAAGAGGGGGAAACACTCGTTATTAATTTTGCTTTAATTTTATTGTTAAATCATTTAATGCTTACTTTTTTTATTTTTTGTGATGGTTCATAATCATCTAAAAATTTCACTTATTTCAAATTTCTTTATTTTTTCAATAAAAAATAACGAAGACTTTTCAAAGTCGTTATTAAAAGATGTTAATCAATTTGTTATTTTGTGTCTAATTACATTTTCGCCAAATATATGCGTTATTATCTCATAGTCTCACTTTTTTTTCTGTTCCGCTAATTGTGCCGGTGTGTATATTATATGGTTTTATAAGACTAACGCCCGGTTTGTGAAACACTGATCATCGTAGATGTCAACTAATCAGCTGTCAAATGGCTTTTCAAATTTCATTTGAGTTGCCAAAAGAATGGTTAAACTCTCTGAATTGACCAGAATGATCTTCTTAATGATGATGATGATGATCAATTCAAAGAGTTTAAACATCCTATTGGCAACTAAAATGAAATTTGAAAAGCCATTTATCAGCAGATTAGTTGACATTTACGATGATCAGTGTTTCAGAAACCGGGCGTAAGCGTGAGGAACGTATACGTGTGTAGTCTGCAGACGCTTTCATATTCGTTAATTTGATGCTTATATGTATGAATGCATTTCATTTAATAAGCATAACTTGCCGTTCATCGTAAATTTGTATCCTACATGTGAGATGTTTAAAAAGCGAATAAAAGCTAAATTAACGGCCAGTCTGTACTTTGCCTTATGGCAAAACACTTTTCTATGGGTTACACAATAGTTGGCCGGACGTTTGGCCCTGCTGCGATGCGATAAAGATATTTGTACTTAAAGTAATAACTTATTCTTCACTTGGTAAAAATACTCACATCATAACTTGTTGAATATACATACATATATGTATACACTTCTTTAAGTAAATATACGTACATAGACTTCTATAATATATATATATATATGTCTACAAGATAATCTAGAAATTGCTATCAGTACCCTATCATTGTAAGAGAACTTATATTCTATGGTAGAACCATATGGTAGCTTCGGGTGCAGAACAAATGTGCTAACACAACAAAGTACACCAGCCTTACTTATATTTAAAATAACTGTAGGCCGAGATAATCTTGTAAAGTCATTTTATCAAACATTGATCAAACAGGCCAAACATCCATATCCTGATAGTTATTTGTAGACAACAAACCACGGTGGCAAACTTTAATACTAAGGAGCTGTGCCAGCCAAACCATAATAAAGATGAAAAAACTATATCTTAATACTACCATCTTAATCAATGTCTTAAATTATTTACAGTAAAGATGCATTATAATCAACAGCAGACTAACACATTGTTAAATGTTAGTCGCAGACTAATATGCATTAACAGAATGGATATCAACATATAATTATTAGAGACAATATAAAATATGTTTGTTTATTATATACAAAGAATAATTTTAAATAACAGTGCATATATACACACACTTATATACAAGCTATTCAATAATTTGAAACAAGACAGTAATGATTCACTAAATAATCAGCAAGGAAGGTGATTTAAATAAATGAAGTTTTTTTTATGTGAGAAAGTGGCAAACCAGCCGGCGGTTCACCTGATGTTAAGTGTTAACCGCCTGCCCATGGACATTTGCAATACTCGTAGGGTTGCAGATGCGTTGCCACCTCTTAATAATGTGGGCCTCGGCTACCTCACTCACCAGTTTTTTACTATACTCTAGCATAGGGCGCAATAGAAAAACTATTCATTTGTTCGTTTTTGCTTCTGTGTTTGAACATCCTCTGGCACAGGTTAGCAGCCAGTACCAAAACATTAAAAATTCAGATCTCGAGATTTGCCACATCTTAATATTTTCATTTAACAATAAAAAATTATATTTTGGCTTTTAGTTCTATGGACTATATTCAACTTCATGAATCCTTCACAAGAATAATCCAATTAATTATTAGCTAGCTATCACGTTTGGTTTGGTAAAATGTATGTGTTTATCTAAAAATGGATATGTGAAAACCATGTTCAATGCTCTATCATGGAGAAGCATAACACTAACCAACTAATACACGGAGAAGTACAACTCTAAATATTGCAACAAAACCAAAATAAAATTTGTACAGTGCTTTCAAATCAAAAACATAGTCCTCAAACCACAACCAACTAACCATGGCATTGCCATTGCCGTTTATATCGAGTACGTGGCTAATATAACTGAGTATCTGGAAAAACAAATTAAAAATATCTATGTATAGTTAATGAAAGTTTCAATGGGTCGAATGAATTTAATGTTATGTTTTTTTTTAAAGCAGATACAGAAATGGTATTTTACAAATTAAAAGTATGTAACTTTATTAGGAAATAATAGAATTATGTATAAATCAATTTAATCAAAGATAAAAAATCAATGAAATATTGAAATTGTGTGACGGTAATATGATTTAATTCCATTTTCATGCAATTCATTCTGTAAATAATACACATATTGATAGTGAACAATATGTTGCTGTTGTTATGATGAAAAAAAGTAAGTCAAGATCAATGGAAATTATTGCTGATAGTGTAAAAAACCAACGATGGTTTGATTTCTTCAATTTTTCAAATTGTTTGAAATGATTTTTTGTATGAATAACTGTCATAATATTGCGAAAGTGGGATTGAAGTATGTAGAAATGGACTATTAAAAGTAGGAATTAGTTCAAACTTTCGGCCTACCTCTGAAGCTGACAGGTGTAAATTATTAAATTCATATTTATGCATACTATATTATATTACACATATGTAATCCTCCTTATATCCATGCAATAAAAAAAACAGGACTATTGATAGTTATTTTTTAGGAATCCACATATTTTTTAAAAGATATATGTATCTTTTACCTGAACATGTAAATATACAAATAAATAAATACTATTAAAAATTTTCAATTTTGATGAGAGATTCAATTGACATTACGTAGTCAGTAGATGTGTGTGTGGTAACAATACTGCTTTGTGAAAATCTGTAGTTTATAATACTTTTTAATATTCCTAAATCATGTTAAAGTGAATTGAAACAATCTTATCTCCTTGTATATACATTAGGCTTATATTACTAAATTGTCATCAAATTAGAATAATTTATAGGAACACAATATGTGTGATATAAAACATAAATGTTACTTAAATCTACAAAGTATCACATTTATCATTTTAAGATATCTTGATCTTATCATCTTTATTTAAAATGTGATAACCTATAATAAATATCTCTCATTACGACATGTCTTTATGAATGCATGTTAACTTTATACTTTTACTTTTAATGCACTAACCACATACAAACAAGCCTTAAACTGACACAAACAAACTCTGTGCAATGATTTTATTTAGTAGTGTGTATGGATGATAACGAGAATTGGAAATGTTTGTTCGATGATTTAATATGCCGCCTGATCACATTGCAATGGTGAAATCAGTAAAATCACGCAGCTTTTTAGAATTAATTTTGTCGACGCGCGAATTATTAATACTTGCTGTTGCTTTATAAAATTATAGTCTAACTTACCGATTTTGGCATCTTGGCGGGTAGGGATCACAATCTGCAATGATAAAACTTACTCGTAAGAATATTCAAAGGCAAACTACAACTGTAGAAAAGCGGTTGACAGACATTGCTCGTCGTGTGACGTCTACTTTGAAATTGTGTTTGAGTCGATAGCTATATACAATGTCCATTCTTTCATCACTATGTAAGAATTAATTTTCTGGATGGCTTTAACAGAAAAAAAAAATTAGTCCAACATTAAACTTGCAGTTACCGGGTGTCAAACTAAATGTGCGCAATGCTAAGTAACTTTCTGATAGCATAAGTAAAATGAAATTTATTAGACGGCGTTATTTGATACTATAATAAATTAAACTTACCCGGTAAAAACAAGAATATCACCTAATAATCCACATAAGTAGCACAACACACATGAAGAAAGCACACACCCAAAAGAGCCACAAAAATATCACGATGTGATGTGACAACTACTTGTGTGACGTGGATCAAGTGTGACCAATGAGCACTAGTATATTTCTACTAAAATATTTGGTACTTTTTTGTAGTAGTAGTTATTTATTATTCTAGTATATTTTATTACCTTTTGTAGGGCTACACAATGGTGTTCACTGTTGCACGAATGGGTCCGTCAAACCGTCCGAAAACCGGCGTAAAGTAGAAGTGTTACATTTCTGCGTTTCGTCTGGTTAGTGAGGTAGCTGGGCCCATTTTATTTACAGGTAGCAACGCTTCTGCAACGGGTGTTGCAAATGTCCATGGGCGGCGGTTATCACTTAACATCAGGTGAACCGCCAGCTCATTTGCCATTTTGTCATATAAATAAAAACTTTTCAACATTTCAGTAGTTAATACTATCTTAATTATAGCTTCAAGAAACGTTTTTTATCTATGTACGCAGCACTAAATATTAGTTGTGCATCATCTTGTATTTAAGTCCCGATTTATATAATTTCTATTACTTATATCTCTATTACAATATAAATGTAAATTTGAGTGAAAAAAACATATTATATAAAGTATCTTGATTTTAATAATTTTAACTATTATTTTAAATATTCTTGTGATAAAAAATCTACAAACAGTTTTTAAAACGAATTAAGATACTTCATTCAGTTTGACAACTAGATAAAAAATTAATCAAATTCAAATGTCAAAGCGATTAAAATGATTAAATGAGTATGCAAAGGCGCGAGAGTTTTTCTTTTAAAATAATTATGGCCAGATTTTATTTAATTGGCATAAGGAATTACATTTATAATGTTATAGATAAAGTTTTTTATGTATAGTAAATAATTACTTTTATACTTTTAGTGATAACATTATCTAAAAACTATCGTGAAAATTGTTAATGATGCGCTCGTCTCCATTTCGCAGATTTCTTCATTGGGGTCCTATTTCAGTTTTATGTAAGCGATAAAGAATGAATTATTAATAATAAAAATCACTGCACTGTACAGCTTCTTTTTTCCAATGGTGTACTTTTCTCTTGGAATCAAACTACTTTTTACTGACTCAATTAATAGTTGGTGTTGTATGCCTTTCTGTTTAACCAGTCTGAACCATTTTTATTTCCAGGTATTATAAAGCTTATAACATGGGCGATGGTACACTTAATAGGCATGTGGTGGCCACCACATGAGTCCATAGCTGCTGCTTTACATGCTGCGATATTTCTAGGGTTAGCATCTGCTACACTTTACTTCTTCCTCCAGTCTCTTCTGGAAGGACCTGGTTTCGTGCCGTTTGGATGGAAACCAGTGAGTAATTTTAAATTTCACTGTTCTAGCAGTCGCATACTTAAGATTGACACTACTACTACTTTTTAATGTGATTTTTCATCATGAAAGCTTTCATAGTTTGAGTTTGTCCCATTAGATATGTTGGTAATTTTAAAGTAAGTAAACACAAAGAACTTTGTTAAAGAATTTTATTTAAAAAACTTTAAATAAAATATAGTTTTAAATTACTCTGTGGCTACTGTATACATTTAAAATGCCTTATAATTTATTGCATGGTAGGCATATATATTGTTAAGAAAAGAAAAGATTATTTTCTTTTTTTATACTTTTCTTTAGACTTAAATACATATGTCATAAAGTGAAGTAAATTTTTCAGTAAAGTTTTATTGTTTATGATGCTGTAATTTGGACCGAGTTAAATATGATGTTTAAGTCACTTTAGTAGTTAGTTAACTTTTTGGCAAAGAATAATTAGTTAAGGTTACTAGCTATTCTGCAAGCCACTATTTTTTCCCATTCTATTAAGTGTTAGAATATTCTAACTTAGCTGTGATCCAATACTATAAACTAAGCCAGAATATTCACCATTTTTCATTTTAAGCATCAACCTGATTTGGTATAATACACTAAAGACCTGTTTTGTTACAGGAAAATGAAGAAGATACAGCATATCTACAGTTCTGTACAGTTTGCAACAGTTACAAGGCACCTAGATCGCATCATTGTAGAAAATGTAATATTAAAACATATTTTTCAAACAATATTTTATTAAATATAATTGCTTATGTTATTATGTATTCTAAGAATGGTAGCTTGTTGTTGAGATAAGCATATTCTATGTAATTTTTTTAATTATATTTAAACCTTTTTTATAATTCAACTGGGATGCTTAGCTAAAAGTCTAATGAGAAAATTTGTATTTTAAGACATAACGCAACAAGTAATAAGTTATATGTTTCATTTTAGGCGGTTACTGTGTCAAGAAAATGGACCACCATTGCCCATGGATAAACTGTTGTGTGGGTCACGCCAACCATGGGTATTTCACGATTTTTCTGACCTTTGCTGTTCTTGGATGTTTCCATGCTTCTATAGTGAGTATATTTTGACTCTACTTTCTGTTTGATACTAAGTTATTAATTCATGATATCAATAATGTAAATAAAGAATATACCATGACTATACATTACATCTCTGTTATATCTCTAGGTGTGTTTAAAGATCACATGTTGTATATCTCGTTTGTAATTGTCGTTTTTAATTTCTTATTAAAATACTAAATACTAATTTCTTTGATTTTCATCATTTACTTGAATCCCTTACATCAAGTAAGAATAAAGAAAGACAGATACTTTAATTGATTTTTCTACTGATGGTCATATTCATATATAAATATACAAATAGATACAGATGTAGCAGAGTCAAATTGGGTGTGTTAATATTGAATTAATGCAGATTCCTGTTCAGCAAAAGTACCTTTTTTTCGTACCATAGTCTGGTCTTTTAATGATTTTTTTGCGATTTCTCAGGTGCTGTCTATATGCGTGTACCACGCGATCAACCGCGTGTGGTACGTGCACAACGGCACGGGCACCGAGCCCATGATCTACCTGACCCTGACCACGTTGCTCCTCACTCTGCTCGCGGTCGGCATGGCGGTGGGGGTGGTGCTGGCGGTGGGGGCCTTGCTCTACCTGCAGGTTAGCACGGTTGCGGTATGGGGTCAGATTACAGGCTTTGAGTTGGTGTTGGCTTTGGAGCATCACCCTGTTGCCTACACCTACTTATTTTTATATTGTGTTGTATTTTGTGTGGAAGGTGTTGGTTAGTAAGTCACTATAACCCCTGCAATGTACTAGATCTATTGTAATCTTCCCTTCGAATCCCTCTTCTATAGGATAACTTTATGTGTTGTAATGATGACTTATACACAATAATTTCACGTGGACAAAAATCCAGATGTGAAAGAACTATATGTGGGTCGTCCCCCCCCCTTGACCCCCAGCGTCGAAGGCAAAATCTTTGCAACTGCACGACGGGGTCATGACTCGTTTGGCGACAGTTGTAAAACTTTATTCTAGAATCCTGAGATACAAACTCTGTTTAGTTAGGGATCAGTATTAATATAAGCTATTGGGAAAAATGTAAAAAAATACATAAATAAAGAAAAGTCCTGAGATCAAACTCCGCTTAGTTAATCAATGTATATTTCAGTATATATTCAGTATATATATTTGATATAAGCTTTTAGCTTTCTCAGCAGTGAAGGAAAACATCGCGTGAAACCTGCATATTTTCGAAATATAAAAAAAAAAATTGAAGATATGTAAGCCTTCCAATCCGCAGTGGGGCTGTGGTGGACTATGCCCTGATACCCTTTGTACAGAGGAGGTGTTGACCCAACAGTGGGACAAGTATAGGTATATACTTTACTTTATGAGCTTCCACGTCGATGATATAAATAATGCGACGGGCTAGGTCCGCGGCATACTGCGCAACCGCACCACGATCGAGGAGTGGATAGTGGAGAAGGCGTGCGGCAGGCGCGAGGAGCGGGGCCTGCCCCCGTTCGCGTTCCCGTACGACGTGGGCTGGCGGCGCAACCTGGCGCTGGTGCTGGGCGCCGCGCCCAGGGGCGACGGCCTGGCCTGGCCGCTGCGCGCCGGGTGCGGCCCCTTCGACCTCACCGCCGAGCAGCTGGCCCAGAAGAGGGACAAGCGCCTCAGGTAGCCCGACCAAACTCTCTCTCTATCTTCATAAAAAAAACATTAACAAACACTATCCTGCCTCGTAAGTATGTTTTGCGAACATAAATTTCACGTGGACAAATATCCAGATGCGAAACGACTATCTGTCGGTCACGCAAATAGTTGTCCCGTGTCGGAATCGAACCCACGACCCCCGACGCCGAACTATGTAATGTTCTTTTCTGATAACTAAATGTCTTTAATCTAAACGAGCTATTAAAACTTGCCAGTTAATTAATTGTATATCAACTGAGGGATCATTTCCACTTCTGCGTTTCGTCTGCTAAATGAAGTGACCGGGGCTCAATCAATAAAAAGGTGGCAACGCACCTGTAACCCTGCATTGGGTGTTGCTGGGTGTTGGTGTCGTCCACGGGTAGCGGTTACCAGTTAACATGAGCTGAACCACCAGCTCTCTTGCCATGTTACATAAAAGAAAATGAAGGTCTTAAAAGCGACCTGGTCCCAGGGCGCGCACGTACGTGGTCCGCGAGGCGTACTCCGGCCGCTGGCTGCCGCTGAGCCGGCCCTGCGCCGCCCTGCACGCGCCCTGCACCGACGAGCCGCGCCTGCCGCTCAGCCCTGGCGACCTGGTGCGCGCCACCAGGCAGCGCAGGTCTGTCGTCTCTCTTTGACCCACAGTATATAACTACTATGAAACTAACGATAAGGCTCTAGAACCTCAGCCCTGGGCAACGAGGCAGGGCAAGTCCGCTCAATCTCTCCTTGTCCCACAGGAAACATATTAGTGTCATGAACATAGGGATAGGGCTCTAGAACCTCAGACCTGGAGAGACCTGAAGATCTTGTGCGGACCAATAAGCCAAGGAGGTCTGCCCTCTACAAGTCCATCTCTCCTTATCAATTTATTTGTTTATTAAGATCTGTCTACAAAATTACATGTGTTTGAGTAATAGCATACCAAATTATTATAAACTCTGGTAAAGAGACACATGCATTTCAAACAAACACTGCATACACAGTATAGATGCTGAAAGTGTATTACAAAACAATAAAGAAAAACCAAAGGAAAAAAACCAACGAAGGTTATAGCTATAATACTACAACGTAATACTGCAACCATGCTACATGAACCAGGCGATAGTCGTTTGGACAGAACCCGAAATCGACAGCATCGGGCATCATCACCATGTTTTGGGTTAAAATATTTTTTTAAACATGCTTGCACTGTGTATATACATACATTTTCATCCACTTGCCTCATCCCACCTACTTGCTTGGTTTCTTGCCGGACGTCTAGCACCAAATAACACAGCAAGTATCTGTGACTCACACAAACACTTGACCCTTACCATCCTCGGTTTTAAAAATTACTACATGGATCAAGAGGCATACATAACACGTGTATTCACATTTTATCTGTGTGCGTTACAGGCAGTGGCTCTTCGGCGAGAAGGTGGTTAGCGAAGGTCGAGGTCCTCGTGGATGGTTTCCGAGCGATGTGGCAACACCGGCGGACCTTAGACCGGACCAGACCTTCGACCTCACCGACAAGGTGAAACCGGACTAGCGACAAACCCCGCGTCATCTAACCCTGACGTAACTCTATCGGCATTCAATACTAGCATGTCAGGGGTGGCCAACAACCTAACCTAATCTACTTTTAACAGTGCAAAATTTAAGATGGTATAGTTATTTAGAATCATAAACATGTAACGCGTTGGATACTAAATCGATCACAACACGATTTCAGTCTAAAAGGCGGACCGCTTGCAGTGAAAGGTTGGCAACACCTGGCTTAATTTTATATGAATGTATCACTAGTCTCTATCGTATGTTACAAATAGAAACTGCTACCTTATAAGTTGTTTGTATGCTGTTCAATTACATCACTGAGAATTGAACCAGAGTAGGAAAAGTATGGTAGTGAACCCAGCCCCTGTCGTAAAGCATAAAAAATCACATAACTTTTTTAAATAATGCATATAAAATATTTTGAATGGTTTGAAATGTTTAGAATGAAGATGGATACATATTAAATTGTGTAAATATTACACAAAAAACGTTTAATATCTTATTTCAGAATTAACTAAGTGAAATATACCTCGCCTTATATTCAGTTATATGTGTGATTCCGTGTATTTGTTACATTTTATTTTTATATTCTAACAGGGTTCATATAGTATAGTTTCAATTTATCGACATAAGGTATGTTTTTTTATATGCGAAAGCAACATATATGTATGTTATCGGTGTAATAATAAATTATAAAACACACTAAAGTAATATAGATGTAAAGAAAAATATTATTTTCTTTAAATTTAATATTAATTTTAATATTTTTATGGTAGACTGAAACATCGACCGATGATAAAAGTTATGTGGTAAATATTTTATTTACTTATGTAATTATTAATTATTATTATTTATGTAATAGTGTAAAGTGTACAAAATAAATCTTTTATTACAGAGAAACTCAATTGTGTTTCGATCGCTGTGTCATCCAAATAACAAAAAAATAATATCTTATAAAAGGACATTTACTGTGAAAAAATGGAAAAGTTGAAATTTACGTTTCAAGCAAAGCCAGCAGTACACGGAAAGTCGAACTATATTGCCCATAACCTCAGTTGCCATCACTTTACGAGCATATCCAAACCTTTAAAGCTTTCGATATAGTGGAAAATCCTTTTTTTTAATGGAGAAAAGGGGTAAACGAGCAGGAGGCTCACCTAATGGCAAGTGATCACCGCCGGCCGTGGACACCTGCAACACCAGAGGGCTTACAAATGCGTTGCCGGCCTTGTAGGAAAGAGTACGCTCTCTTCTTGAAGGTTCCCAGGTCGTAACGGTTCGGAAAGACCACCGGAGTTTGTTCAGTTAATTAAATTAAGGACATACACTTGAATCAGAAAAAGTCAAATACTCGTATTTTATACTTTATTGACGTACCTACTTTCTGAGTTGTACCTGTGTAAAAATTAGAAATTTAAAAAAAAAAAAAAATTAAAATCTCTGAAACAAAATTACTTTCATTCTACATCAGTGTTTCTCAAACTTTTTTAGTGCAACCCCCACTTTAGGAAAAATTGATTACCGAACGCCCCCCCCCCAGAAATTGTTCATCTGAATTTTTTTTACAGAAATAGGCTGTTTAATGAACTTAATTCTTCTTGAATGAGTGAGATGCTATTCAACGTGCTGTTATAATTTCCACAACCCACATGATTTTTATTTGATGGTGCGCCTCCAAAATTAGTTTCAATCGCCCCTTCAGAAAGCCTCAGTGCCCATTAGGGGGTGGTACCACCCACTATGAGAACCATTGGTCTAAAGGAAGCATAAATGAAAAAAAAAAAAAGGATTTATACAAAAAAAGGGAAACATTAGTTTTCATGGATAACAAGATCACCGCATATATATTTTCTATGATAATATTATATAATTAATTACAAACATTTTTGGTTTCTTGAATATTGATCTTAATCGAGCAATGACCTCTTATTATTTACTTTTCAATCTAATTTTGTATGTAAAGTAAGGTAATATGTAAAGTAGGTAATAGACAACTTGTATAGACATGTTTCACTGCTATTGTAAAAGCCAACTTAAAGGAAAGGACCTATTATAACGTCGAGGAATACATTGAGGACAACTATGTGTGGAAATGACTCTTGCTCTGCACTTGCAAGTCTCCTGGCTCCTGCTTAATTATACTTTGGTATAGGTATGTACTTGAATAATCTGAAAAAAAAAATATGACCGCAGAGTTTCTTGCCGGTTCTCTTCTTAAAGGTCTAGTTTAGTGAACCGGTGGTAGTTTTTGACGTTCAATAAAAGCTTAAAATAAGCCTATGTTGAATAAAGAAATTTTGACTTGATTTGACTTTGAATTGACTCCTGAACAAAGGTTTCCTGTACATATATCGTACATCAGGGCATAGTCCACCGCGTAGCCCCTCTACTGCTAATTGGCAAAAATCAAAAAAAAATTAAAATCATTTATTCATCGACATAAGAAACTTACATTTCATTTATCAATAGTCATATTTTTTTTTTAAATCTACCACCGTTTCGTAATGAGGTTCCTCTAGCGGAGAAGAAACAGGCGAAAGAAACTCCGTAGGTATCCTCTTTTTTGTAATTATTTTTTTTTCTTAACAAAAAATTCAAAAATTATACAACTGATTTTTTTTCCTTTTAGAAATAGCTTGGGAGCGATCAACTCATTCCCAGGGGTTATTGTCATTAATGTATTCATTTGTATTATAATAACCCTTTTTATAAAGTTTTTCTTTAATAAATTTCTTAAACCTGTTAATAGGCAGGTTTTGCGCATTTACTGGGATTTTGTTGTAAAAGCGTATACACCGCCCCATGAACGAGTTACTTACTCTATGGAGTCTAGTAACTGGCATTACAAGCTTGTGTTTGTTCCTAGTGTTCACATTATGTATATCAGTATTCTTATCAAAATTATTAATATTTCTACGCACATACATAACATTTTCATATATATATATTGAGAGGCTAAGGTTAATATATTTATTTCTTTAAACTTCTCTCTCAAAGATGCATTCAGATCTAGATTATAAATAGCTCTTATGGCTCTTTTTTGCAAAATAAAAATTGTTTCTATATCGGCCGCGTGCCCCCATAGCAAAATACCATATGACATTATGCTATGGAAGTAACTAAAATACACAATTCTAGCCGTTTTTACATCAGTTAGACATCTTATTTTCCTTATAGCATACGCTGTAGAAAAACGAAAAAAAAAACACCATAGGTGATACATAATTACATATATACTGGCCTGGACACTGAGCTAATACGGCTTGTTGGGTAATGGATAATAATAATATACGGATATCCTCCTCCTTATTGTTTCTTCTTTATCGATGAACGTGGTTATGATTTGGATTAAAAAAAACGTGATTTGAATGTAAATTTTTATTGTGCAATAAAAATAAATTATCCATAATCGCATGTTACTTTCTCTTACAAAGCAAAATCAGTTACAAAAAATATCAAGGAATCACCTCTATCCCTAATTCAATATGACGTAAATAAGATATAATATTATCACTTTATTAATGTAAAAACTTTAATAAATGCCTTTTAAAAGCAAATCAATCGCATGTTACAGAGCAACAAACTTTGCATTTCGCATTGGGAAATTGTATTTCAAAAGTTTGTTCTGTTAAATTTCAAGCAACCAGTCAAGCTCATATTATTTTTAACCTACGTCTAATTATTTTTAAACTTATAAAATTTAAATTTACCGCTTGAAAATTTAAAAAGCGGGCAATGACCGTTATCATAATCTGTCGTCATCACCGAAGACTTTAGTTTGACTGCGTTCAAATTTAATCAAATGGTAGAAAAATCTATATTCGTCGTGTTAAAAATGAACCTCGACATATCTTATATAAAAAATAGTTTTATGAATATTATATAATGTTGTTTTAGAACGATTGAATTGGTTAGATTATTTTGTAGCTGACAAAACATTATTCGTATAATATCTGTCGAGGGTACAGTGTTCAGAGTTAAGGCGCTTAGTATTCATTCTCCTCGTCCAGTTCGCCCTCCGTGGAGTCGACGCCCACTTCCTCGTAGTCCTTCTCCAGGGCGGCCAAGTCCTCGCGGGCCTCGGAGAACTCGCCCTCCTCCATTCCCTCGCCGACGTACCAGTGCACGAATGCGCGTTTGGCGTACATCAAGTCGAACTTGTGGTCGAGTCTGCAAAGAGTTATTTTCATTAGTCTTTCATTTCATTTGGAAAAATAACACTTTTACATAGTGGACAGTTCTCTGTTGTTTCAAAATTTTATAAATATGTCCAATACTTGTCTGTGGTAGGGCCACGCAAAAATCTTCGCGAAAAGGCGAGTCCGTCTGAGGAAGTACCACGACCACGACCTCACAGAAGACCAGCGTGAAGTGGAAATGTTATACTTCTGCGTTTCTTATGGTGAGCGAGATAACCGCGGCCCATTTTATTAAAATGTGGCAACGTATATGAAACCCTACCGGGCGTTCATATGTCCATGGAAGGCGGCTATCACTTGACTTCAAGTGAATTGCCTGCTCGCTTCCCACCTTTTCACATAAATAAAAAAATATTATTTCAAAAGAATAAAAATGTGCGTGGCTATCTGCCTTGATTGGATGTAATTAAATTTGACAAAAGCGTGGTAGGGTAATCATACATGGATCGCGTGAGAGTCTGTATTCACATTGTTGGAACATAACGTGACAAACGAACGCGCGATTCTGTCGGTGTTAAGTTGTAAAGCGTGTGGTAACCCTATTCACCAGTCAAAATGTAAGTATGTAAATAATCTGTGCGGTCGTCGTTTATCAACGTTTATATAAACGTAGTGATTACATTCTCTTTGGTCGTTTATCTGGGGCTCGGTTTATTAACGCAACAAAGATTACTGCGTGGCAGTACCACATTAAACATGTCGCAATCACCTGGCCCAGGCTTCGGCGATGGCGGTGGTGTTGGACAGCATGCAGACGGCTCGCTGCACTTTGGCCAAGTCGCCGCCGGGCACCACGGTGGGGGGCTGGTAGTTGATGCCCACCTGTGCAAGGAAAAGGAGGGAGTGCAATCCTTACTTCCTTACTAATATTATAACTAATGTTTGTATATATGGATGGATGTTTGTTACTCCTTCACACAAAAACTACTGAATAGATTTTAATGAAACTTTACAATAAATATAGCTAATACATCAGAATAACACATAGGCTATAATTAATAAAGATATTATTTGGATTATCAAAAATATAACAATAAGTGTCAAGTAAGTAGGAAAAAATTGCCATCTGCGAGCTATTTTGGTGTATAATAAAAAACTCACTGTTAATTCCCTTTGACCGCACGGGCGAAGCCGCGTTTAACAGCTAGTAAATCTATTAAGCTGCAATGTAATTTATCCAAATCAATCAATATAATACGCTCTAACAAAAGTACTCGTATAAGTAATTTTCGTCGCTGTGAAGATTAGGCATTTAGCTCAGTAGGTAGAGCGCCGGGCGCGTATCCCGGCGTACACAGGTTCAAATAATCGCAGCGGCGAAAACTTTTTCGTTCGTTTTTTCACAAACTTTATATTTCACATTAAATGAAGAGAACAGCGCTATAAAAATATAGGTTTAATTTGAATTATATTTTAAAAGTTTTAATATATATCTCAATAACTACATAAATTAAAGAATCCCTATAAATAAAGGCAGAATAAGTAACAAGAATGGATGATGTTACTAAATTAGCTTGTATGTACTCGTCGAATTTTTAGTAAAAGTGGGTAATTCAGCCATATACTTTATCATATTATTAGCGACGTACGGTTGTAATGCATACATTATACAGCGTGTCGTTACCATCGCGACAATAAATGAACACACGTCTAACGCTACTTGCCAATAATCATAAAAAAATATTAACGCTAAACAAAATCCATAATTAAAAAAAAATATTTTTCAAACAAACTACATTAAGTAAAAAAGAAACAAAATTTGTAACATCCTTACAACTCGCGCCACAGCGTCGTATTACAAGCCTCTCCTTCTAACAGTATGTTTTGTCTCTTTTAAATTCATTTCAACCCATTCATATGATTTGTGACCTTTACAAATGAACTTTACGTTACGCTTTTATAGGTAAGGGTGTTCTAAAATTCTTTGTTTTGGAAAATTTAATAACTCTGTAAATATTGGTGTTTAAAGAATTTAAATGTTTAATACAACTTTAAAAAGTTATCCCCTATATGTGTGTTTATTTATTGTCGCGATGGTAACCACACGCTGTATAAGTAAGTAATATGATACGTTTAAATTAATTGATTTTGGGGATGACTTAAATTAATTTAAAAAAAAACCGTATCTTTCAGACACTTTGTTTTGTGAGCAATGTTGTCAGCTACACCGTGTACGAATTTCAACACTGTACAAGATAAAATAGGAGCAAGGTAAAATGCAAGTAATATCAATCAATTAAAAATGAAACCTTAAATCCTGTGGGGCACCAGTCAACGAACTGGATGGTCCTCTTGGTTTTGATTGTGGCGATGGCCGCATTCACGTCCTTCGGCACCACGTCGCCCCTGTTAATATTTAAGGTTAGGTTACAATATACGTAAGAACGGACATGTAGACACGGAAAGTGACGCAGAAAACAGATTTCTGCTCAATTCACTTTAGTCTTCATGTAAATAAAGATAAATGTAAATAAAAATAAAGATAAATAAAGAATATTAATTAATTTATTAATTAATATTCTTTATTAATTAAAAGAATATTAATTAATTTATTAATTAATATTCTTTATTCACACACAATGACTTGAGATCCATTAAAAAAATAGTTAATAAATGTTGTAACAATAAGCCTTATTACTTAGAGCAATTTCTTCCAGAAAACCTATGGATGGATACAGTATATAAAGACTTTTTCAGGTTTGTGGGTATTGCTTATGGCATACGATACATAGTCTTTAGTACTTCCAATATTGTTTTTGGGTAAAGAAAACAAACATTCAGCTTACCTGTACAACATGCAGCATGCCATGTATTTTCCGTGACGGGGATCGCATTTTACCATCTGTAAGAGCAAAATGTGTTGTCATAATAATTATGTATTTGGACATTACGTTTTTTAATATAAAGGAGAGGCCAAATAAAGAAGTTTCTCTAAAACTAATCATTAATCTATATTATAAAAGCTGAATAGCTAACCAGTTGAAATTAATAAAATATTAAAATAATTAAGAACAACTGGAATATTATCTTTTCCGTCAACGTAAAATTCGGTTGCAGTTTCGAGAAGCATTGATTGCATTATAAATGCCAGGTTATAGTTAAAAACAAAACACGCATCAGATCACCCTCCTCCAGCTCTTATTCCACGTAAAAGGATTTTTAAAGATTCCACACAAAATATGAATCGAGCTGTGAGTAGTTTATGTGGAGCACACCAATATATGTCACGTGTGGGAATCGAATCCACGATCCCCGGCGCTGAACACAGTGGCTTAACAACTGCGCCAGTCATGAAAGATAGGCAGTTCTGTGATAATTGGGAAAACGTAGTCCTGGGCTCATAGAATGGGACTAAGGTATCTCCTGCCTGTCGTAAAAGGCCACTTAAAGGGCGTCTATGCTAGTCTATGCAAGGTCTATCGGGGAAGGTTGATTCTTCACTCATTCGTGTAATATATTTTTTTAGACTTATTTCTATAATATACTAGCGACCCGCTCCGGCCTCGCACGGGTACAATGTATTTTATATATGAACCTTCCTCTTGAATCACTATGTAGCAAAAAAAAACTGCATCAAGATCCGTTGCGTAGTTTTAAACATCTAAGCATACATAGGGACAGACAGCGCGACGATTTTGTTTTATACTATGTAGTGATGCACAGCTAAGAGACGCTTGCATTTCAAGTGACATTTTACCGCAGTCACTCACTTGTTTTGCCTTCCCGGAACCCCTCCACTAACACTTACACTTTATGGTATGGTATTAAAGTTCAAATTTAAGGTATTAATACGAATCTTTTGTACCGGAATATAGAAGTGTTGTTTTTAGACTTCCTCAGGCAATTTTTTAAATTTTTCTCTCCGTAAGAATCATCCTCGTACTTCAAGGAATATTATAAAAAAAGAATTAGTGAAATCGGTTCAGCTGTTCTCGAGATTAGTGCTTGGCAACACATTCAGCGATTCATTTTTATTCTATTGTAAATGTTCAAGTGTAACGTTCTGCCTGCGATCGGAAGTAAATTAAAAAAAAAGTGACAGGTCTGTCACCTGTCACTTTTTATCGTATCGTTCGAAGGTCGGTGACCTGGTTGGCGGGCTCGAAGCACGCGTTGGTGATCTCGGCGACGGTGAGCTGTTCGTGGTAGGCCTTCTCGGCGGAGATGACGGGCGCGTACGTGGCCAGCGGGAAGTGGATGCGCGGGTACGGCACCAGGTTGGTCTGGAACTCCGTCAGGTCCACGTTCAGCGCGCCGTCGAAGCGCAGCGACGCCGTGATGGAGGACACGATCTGGAGGCAGGCGACGGCTCCTTTGTTTTATATTCGCTACGCCAGAACAGTGTTGCCAACTGTTAATAAAACACATATATATATATACTACTAGCTTTTCGCCCGCGGCTTCGCTCGCGTTGGAGCCCTTAAATAAATATCTTTATTTAAAAAAAATCCAATTAAAAAATAGCCTATGTCCTTTCTCAGGCCCTAGACTATCTGTGTACCAAATTTCATTTAATTCGGTTCAGTAGTTTTGGCGTGAAAGCGATACAGACAGACAGACAAAGTTACTTTCGCATTTATAATATTAATATGGATTACTATTATACTTTGATCTTTTTAAATCGGCGATACAACAAAACTATAAACAATAAGCAGAAACCGCAGACCCAATATTCACTCACAGGAATTTCTACACATCTTGGCTTTCTATTAACGAATATAATCAATCACAATCGGGAAAAAATTCCTATACGTTATTCCTATAATTATATCTGTTTTCCAAGTTAACGTTTTATTGCACTTTGTTATTTAGTGCACGGTGTTTTTTTTTTTCATTTTGTATCCAATAATTTATTTATGAAGACCTGTTATTGGCTTTCTTTCTTTCTAATATATTATTATTTGCAGTTGGGTTTCCAGTCAGGCTGCGCACGGATGCAATGTATTATACATATAAACCTTCCTCTTGAATCACTCTATCTTGTAAAAGGAACCGCATCAAGATCAGCTTCATACTTTTAAAGATCTAAGCATACATGGGGACGGACAGACAGCGGAATGACTTTGTTTCATACTATGAAGTGATGAGCAAGATTCTTTTGCACACACGTTAATACTCAAAGCGTTTGTTGTTCTGAGTTACCTGACCAATGAGCCGGTTGAGGTTGGTGTACGTGGGCCTCTCGATGTCGAGGTTCCGCCGGCAGATGTCGTAAATTGCCTCGTTGTCGACCATGAAGGCGCAGTTCGAGTGCTCCAGGGTGGTGTGCGTGGTGAGGATAGAGTTGTACGGCTCAACAACTGCGGTCGACACCTGGACGAGGGCATTTTATGTTTATTAATTTCACTATCACTAATTTTATCAATTAACAGATGCAAGTTTTTTAACAGGTACATCCAAATGGAATATTATTATCTATTTAGCGAATGCTTCTTGTTGAACTCTTTTCTGTGTTCACGTCTACAATAAGCTGTTGATCACAGACAATAGTTCCGTGTGGGAATTGAGGCCACGACCCCGAACCGATATCTCAGCAACAGCGGCCGCTAAGCCGATGAAATGCAGCTAACACAACCAAGATACAAAGACCACTAACGCTAGACATCGCTCGTATTAACAGTCAAGATCGTCTCTCATCAAAGTACCTGAGGAGCGGGGTATATGGAGAACTCCAGCTTGGACTTCTTGCCGTAGTCTACGGAGAGGCGCTCCATCAGCAGCGACGTGAACCCGGAGCCGGTGCCGCCACCAAACGAGTGGAACACCAGGAAGCCCTGATAAATAGCATCCACGTCGTTAACCCTCAACGGTCTGGATTAGAACTCACTATAAACTCTAAAACATGTTTTTTTCTTTTTTTATGAGAAAAGTTGACAAGCGAGCAGGCGGTTCACCTGATGTTAAGTGAATACCGCCGCTTATGGAGATCTGCTACATCCGAAGGTTATAGATGTGTTGACAACCATTTGAAAATTGGGCTCCAAAACGCGAAAGTATTTGTCATACTTCCACTTTACGCCGGTCTTCTGTGAGGTCGTGGTACTTACCCGGACGAGCCTGCCCATTCGTGCAACAGCCGAGGCTGCTGCGTGGCCCTACCACAATTTCATGTTATCATCTCCAATCTTTTGACATACAAAAACCTTTTGACACGACGATGTCTGTTTTTTTTTTTATTTATATATTTCTTCTGTGCGTGTGTATGCCATTTAACTCCTAAACAGTTGGACCAATCTTAATGAAATTTTTTGTGTCTTCAGTTCGATTCGAGAATGGTTTAGATTTTTTAGATTTTTTATTTCTAAATTGTCGAATTTAAGTCGTGAGTACAGAACAACGTGTGTCCGGTCCGCTAGTTTAGTATAAAATAAAGGTTTATACCTATATGCAGGCGAGATTTATCTTTTGAAAGTCTAATACTTTCAAAAGTTTTTTCGAAGATTTTTTTCGTGTCTATTTACGAACAGCCGCGAAGGAGTGGTACGCTCTCACAGAAGACCAAAGATAACTGAGAAGAGTTTGTACTCTCTGTAATTTTCGGTCTAATGGGGTTCTAACGAGGGCGCCCCTCACCTGGAGTCCGGTGCACTGGTCCGCCAGCTTCCTGATCCTGTCCAGGACGACGTCCACGATCTCCTTGCCGATGGTGTAGTGGCCCCGCGCGTAGTTGTTCGCCGCGTCCTCCTTACCCGTGATGAGCTGCTCTGGATGGAACAGCTGCCGGTAGGTGCCCGTACGCACCTCATCTGCAAGAGTATACCCCTGTATTAATCCATGGGATTTTAAAAGTTTTGAAGCCAGTGCCAGACAAGAGCGGCTGATGTGTTGGACGTTTAAGCATTCTTTTCTTAATTATGAACAGTTACACAGGTGTAATCAAATATACAGGCTCTTTCAAGTTGACTTTAATACATTTGTAAACATTTCTTTATTTGATAAACAATGGTATAAAAAAAAAAAGAAAGTCCCGCTGAGTTTCTTTCGCCGGTTCTTCCCAGATCAGTGGCTTTTTTTTCCGAAGCGGTGGTAACGTTTTGACATTCAATAAGAAAGTGTAATGCTTCAACATTGAATAAAGGTATTTGATTTGATTTGATTTACCGTGTGAACCGTGATAGCTCAGTGTCCGAGCGCTCGCTTCTTGACTCAGTGTCAGGACCTATGGTGTTTACGAGCTAACTTATAAAGAGTTGACTTTAAGTGCTAACTTATCACGTGTTCAAACTTTGCAAAAAATATTTCGAAGATATGTGATGTCCGCCAATCCACAGTGGGACTGCGTGATGGATTATGCCTTAATACTCTCTCTACAGAGGAGGCCTTTACACAGCAATGGGACATATATAGGTTGTTTCTTTACTTTACTATTAATCAAATACGCTCTGGTTCGCTCTTACTCAGGAGACATTTACATTCTGAAGTCAGTACGAAACCATTCATGGCATTGACGTGAGTAGCAGATGAAATCCAATCTTGATATATCGTTTAAAGGCGCTCAGATATTGATGTTAATTGAAGACGCAAGTAATTTTATATAAAAAATATTTTTCTTCGGTAATTCATTATTGATAACTTTATTTTTTATCTCAAGTGGGTCGTATTACATAAAATCGATGTAATTTTTAATTAAGGAGAGAAGACATACTACATAATAATACAAGAAGACGTACATGTAAAAATTAAAACGCTATTAAAACCAAATATCATTAAAATCTTGATAGAATAAAATTAGGTATAAAAATAATTATTATATTTATAATATAGTAATACTGTTTTGAATATTAATAACATGATTAGTTTGCATGCGCATCGGATGCGTGACGTAGAGTAATTTAGGCACAAGTCATTGCAAAAAAAACCCCATCTTGCAATTCGTTGACCTGAGTCTTGAACGAAAATCATTAATCGCAGCTCATGCGAAAGGCGACAATCATCCGAAAGCAGTTGCGGTGCGTTAAACTGCTCAATTGCTTTCACAAGTGAAGACTTGAAGGGCCATATGTTTTTATTGCGTCTGGCAAGGGCATCGCAGTAACCTCGTCAATTTTATTTTAAAATAAAATGTATTAGGATACCGAGATGGTTGTCACTTGTTAACTTTTGCTCGTGACCTACGAGGAAAAGTTAATTAATCACTTAATTAACGAAAGCCGAGACTAATCACTTATAATTTTGTCTTTAATTAATTATACCCGAATGTCTACTTCTTTCTTATAGCATTAATATGATACGCCCCTCGGCAGTTCTGTTAGTACACGGAACCGCCTGGTACGGTAAACTACCACGACCTTACAGAAGACCAACCTTGTACTAGTGATATTTGTACTTTTGCATTTCTTCTGTCAGGTAACTGAGGTTTCTAAAACTTGGCAACGCATCAGCAAACTCACGGGCCTGCCCACCTGCATGGGCGGAGGCAATTGGCGGCGTAAATCATTCAACATCGGTTAATCAATTGAGAACGCTTATCGCTTGCCACAAAAATCAGGGGCGATTTATAAACGCTAACAATAACAGACGTTAATTATATCTTTGTACTTCTGCCCTTATCCCACCTAGATGGGTCTTAATAAAAGCTACGTTTATTACGTCTGACGATTTTTCTTCTTTCTCAACAACACAACGCCTAGATCAGAAAAAGTTATTCGCGGGGCACACAAATTCTAGCCCTATATGGAAATCGGAGCTACGACTCTCGGTGCCGAAGAGTCATCATATCCGACTGTAATCACATCCAGATAGTAAATTACATTAATTATTATCTCTTGCGCATACACAATCCAACGAAGTCTTTTTTTATTATGAAATCGAGCGCTAACTCAATCCAATATCATCACATTACTGTCTATTAGTTATTCCCATCACAGATGAGCTTTCAAACTAAGGTAGGTAAGGTATATGTAAGAATCTGATCCGATACGCACTGTCGGGTCGTCGGACACTCGTCAGTGGCGCCACTAGAAATTCTGAAGCTATCCTCTATACATGATCTATCGGCAGTTCTCATCAAGCTTTCTTTTATATATCCTAACAAAGCATCTTTCACGTCTTAGTAGACAACGACTAAATGTTAAGTTAAAGTTGAGGTTGCGATTAAAAAGCGATTTAAAAGCGATGTCAAAATGCAGGTAATCGTGTTCAGTGCTTTACCGATGTATATTGATTTGTCTCGAACCCTATACTAAACTAAACTACTAACTACTACTAACTAAAATAAACAATTGCGGAATTCTATTGTTTTTTATTATTTATTTAATTTTATATATTTTTGGAAAACTTACAGCTAGAACAGTTATCGTGTGAACAAATTTAACAAAATTAACGCCAATCAAAAGTTTTCACAACTACAAAATTTGGTACACGATTACAAGTTCGTAAGAGAGGTGTTAAATACAGAAAAGTACTAAGCATAGTAGTTGTATACAATTAATAAACGATTTAAATGAAATAACAGAGGAAGAAACAAACTCCTCACTGTGGCTAATTCCTGCTAAAGAAATTATTTCACATGCATTTTTTTTAAAGTAATTTATATATTTCCTTAGAGTATGTCCAAACATGGTCTATGTTTATAGAGACATTAACGAAAAGAATAAATAGCTCGTAGGCTAATAATGCCTTGCCAGGCGGGGCGGTAATAACAGTCGATGAGCTAAGTTCAACACCCGGTATAGGCCTTGCTAAGTTTACATAAGTAATGACAAGCTTACACCAAACTTGTAAAGCGCCATTAGTTGATCCTCACAACCGTTTACTGTTTAATGACAAAAATAATTTTCCTATTGCATTTATAGCTAACAAATTATTTAGTAAAATTTAGTGTTGTCATTAATAACACTTCACGATTTATCTCTCACTTACTCAAGTCGGTGTGCGGTGGGTGACCCTGAAATGTTGGCGCAAAACTTTTTGTCGGCATTCGCAGCCACTGTTATTAAGTCTGACTAAGCATAGCCAATATCTCGCATGAGTCTGCAACACTGCCTAGATGTTTTTAATTCAAAAAAAAAATTATATATTAACAAAGCAGGTTTTGATATCGACTCGACTCTAATTAACTTTATTTTAGCTTCCATTATAAACTGAAAACAAATGAAGATTCACCGTCCATTGGTTAAGCCTAAATAAAACAGGACAATCGGAAGCTTCGCATGTAACAGTAAAATTTCGGCTCCATGTTTCGAAACCAGTTTCCCCGAAACATCCTTTTGCCATGTCTGGATTGGCGCGAAACGCTCGTCCGTGGCTTCTTGCGCGCTTTCTTTATTAATATTGAATTTCGGGACAACACCGTCCGCCCAATACGGGTAGACCGTTACAGCATTAATATCTTATGCCGTCATACAAGTTGCAAAGGTATTTTTTCCATTATCTTTTAATGCGTATACTATTTATAATTTATTCCAACTTTATTTCCATTTTTATAAATTATTCCAACTTAAGTTTTTCGGATTTATTAATAAATGCGTAATATAAATAAATAAATATTTCTGGACATGTTTTTTACACAACGTTATCTAGTCCCTAAGGTAGGTACTTACTTTTGTAATTACCTATTTGTAAGTACCTACATATCATAGATTCCTACACAAGCACCCAGAAACTAGAAAAACATTGTCTTCGTCACACAATATTTAGTGTAGTAGTGGCGATCGAACCCACACCCTTTGGCGCAAGAGACAGGACCACTATCCATTACACCAATTGTTATTATATTCCAAGTGTACGAAACAAAAGTATATTAAATGCATTATGAATGTGCTGGTGTGTTTCCCATTTATGACTACATAACTATGATAGTCAAGCTCTATTCTTTGTAGTGAAGTAAATAATGGGATACATTAAGCAACATGATTGTAACATGAATTTGCCAAGCGTCCTTAATGTCTGTTCAAAACGAAGAGTCGAATGCACACAGTTCATGGTTCTTACATTAAACGAGCCCGCATCGCTTTATCAAAACGTCTGCTAAATGCGGTAACAAATCGATTCCATTTTCGTACAGGTCTCGAGTGTTCCCAAACTTTGTTTGCAGCGAAGCGTCTATCGTTTTACAAAGCTTATAAAACAAAGAATCGGTTTTTTTTCTAGGTGTTGCTAATATAACGATCTCATCGCTTTAATTTAAGTTTTATTATCTATATTTTTTATCTTCTGCACACAGCTTTTTTTAACTTGCCAATATTCTCCGTCCTAAAATAAATGTGCAAAATCACAAACAGTTATGTCCTCAATTCGCAGCATTTTTACTTTTAAGTAAGTAAAAGTTTACTACAACACCAACACGTGAAGACCTCATGAATAACGATGGGAAACCCACGCCCAAAACTTACGGTAAATCTTCTTAATCGTAATAAAATTTTATTTACTAGAGTTTCGATGGGGTGTTCATGGTGCGAACGGCAATTAAGCGAGTTTTTACTGTGGTAGTAGGGGCACACACCAGCATCAACTGTTGCAAGAACGGGCAGGCTTGTCCGGCAAAGTACCACGGCCTCACAAAAGACCGCCGCGAAGTCAAAGTGTGTACACCTTCGCATTTCTTCCGATGAGTGAGGTAATCACTTTCACTTAAAAATACAATCTGCCTCCGTCCATCTTTGCTACCAATTGGAAAGTCGCTATCTTCAAGACGAGTGATTGGACTTCTACTGAGCAAACAAATCCATCAGCGCTGACCATCAGGTGGGATGGATTGGGAAAATCGTTCTAGAGGCGTAGAACCAAGTAGAAGGAATCACCATCATCATTTCAGCCTGTTTGAGTCCGTTGCTGAACAAAGACCTCCTCCACAGACTGCCACGAGGTCTGATAGAAGGAATCACTATTGTAAATTGTTGTTGCTCTCATTCCTACGGGCTGTATATACTTCAGTGAACGATGAGGCACAGACGATAATCGGTCGGAAAGTATAACGCTTAACAAGTTGTTTTCAGTCCAATGGGCTATAATATACACTTCAGTCACTGATGAGGGAAAGACTACGATCGGAGGGTAAGTACGACGCTTACCAACTACAGTGGGCTCGAGGTCCACGAACACCGCCCTGGGCACGTGCTTCCCGGCGCCTGTCTCGCTGAAGAATGTGTTGAAGGAGTCGTCACCGCCGCCCAGGGTCTTGTCCGAGGGCATCTGCCCGTCGGGCTGTATGCCGTGCTCCAGGCAGTACAGCTCCCAGCAGGCGTTGCCGATCTGGACGCCGGCCTGGCCGATGTGGACCGAGATGCATTCCCTCTGCCGGCAAAGCGAAGGCAATGAGGATCGGAAATATGGTAATTTAGTTTTTATCTTCAAATGTAATTACGAATCTAATAATTTTTAGGGCACATTTTTACACGTGTATCTGAAATCCGGTACTTCATTTATTAGCTTCAAATTTAATTACGAATGTAATAATAAATAAATAAATAATAAATAAATATTTGAGGACACATTTTTACACAACGTTCTCTACTCCCAAACTAAGCAACGCTTGTATTATTTTGTATTATTTTGGACTAGAACTGATAAACATACTGAAAAATACTTTTCTCTTGTAAATAAATACATATTATACATATTATACATATATAAACACCCAGACACTAGAAAAACACTATGTTAATCACACAATATTATTCCAGTAGGGGGGATCAAACCCACACCCTCTGGCGCAGGAGGCAGGTATACTACCCACTATGCCATTCGGGTCCTCGTAATAATGCGAATGATGGAAGATTTTTGATGTTATCCATTTTATTTTGTTGTAGAATAGTTTACGAATATTTCAGTAATACTATATTCTGACTGCGTAGTCATATTTGTATCTTCTACGCAGAAGTACAGAGTATGTTTTACGAGTCAAATTTCTAATGAGAAATTTGTGATAAAATGAGCATAAAAAAGCAATGGCTTTAGATGGTCACTTTGCCGTAAGATGTTCTCTATGCCATATTGCGCCGATTTGTAGTGGTCAGTTTTCACTCCATTTTTGTGGGTTTTATAATGATAAAAAATTTGAAAGAGCCTTTGAATATAAATGTATACTCGGAAAATACGAGTAGCCCATAGATAATAACCTTAATGGCCGTGGAAATGGCACAGATTATCCAGGATATACCGGCAAGGGGATGTTTATGTGTTTGATGCACGCACTTGTGAACGTTCGTGAAACATAAACCGGTTTTACAGTGTCACCTGACTGTATAGCGTGTTTCAATGTAATAAATTATAAGACCCGCATTAAAAAGTCTCAGTACTTTAAATAATGTGGAATAATTTATGTAAGTATAATAAAAATTGTTCGACTGCGCCTTATTATGTCAGTTTTCGATTTTAATATTTTTTTAATGATGACTCCGTGGCGTAGTTGCCAAGGAATTGGCTTCGGCGTCAGGGACCCTGGGTACGATTCCCACACGGGACAACTATTGGTGTGACCCACAGAAAGTTGTTTCGCATCTGGGTGAATGTCTGCGTGAAATTTTTGTTTGTAAAAAGTTATTACAACACAGGATAATATGATCCTAAAGTAATGGCAAAGTTTGAAACAAAAAAAATAGAATAAACAAAAAGATAAATTGTAGGTGCAAAAAAAATGGCATCAGTGGTAAATTTGTGTACTCACCGAGTTATACTATTTTGATTTACAATTCTTAGTACCAGATGTGTTTCATAGACGCGCCTTTCCAGATCATTCGTTCGGGAAGAACCAGCTATTGTTTAAGGTATTTCATGCGAGACAATAGCTGGCTACTTCGTAACAGCTGTACTGTCCAGGGCAAATTTACATTTAATTGTCTAAGAATTATTAACATAGTACATAACTCAGCCTATAAAGTAACTGGGTTGAAGGTGTTTACGTATGTAATAATTACCTTGATGGATAATTATAAAAGGCTTTATAGAACATGGACAGAGTCGCGTCATGCTTAGACACCACATGTGTTATTAGAGCAGAAAATGTATCTAACAACAGCGAGGGTCGTGATGTTGAGAAAATTCTTTTCTATTAGTCTCACGCTCCAGTATCGTTTTACTTTGATTATATCGATTTCTTTAGTAAGCTTGCCCAAGGAAGGAGCTCAGTTTCTAATTGAAAAATGGCTTACATTTTTGTTACTTTATTAAAGAGTTTTAAATGCCACCTTCAGTCAATATACACAAGAACAACGATGATTTAATATCTCCTTTGTATATAATATCCTTGCACAAGAATTAGTCTTCTCGTTTAAATGTACCGATTGTAAATCACTGGAGCAGTCATTTGACAAATGTTATGTCATCAGCTTCCTATATAAAAACTTATACAGCCAGCTGGTTTTTGTTTGCGCAACTCGAGGGCTGACGGAATTTTAAGCGAAGTAAAAATTAAGAAAGGGCAATAATTCATTTTTTCTTTGAATTAAGTTCTAAATTATTAAAGTTGCATACCTCGTTTATATCTGTAGTTATACATAGTATTGCATTTAACTTAAATCATTATACATGGTTATTTGTAGTATCTATCAGTAGATAGATCGAAATAAACACTTCCCATTAAAACATTATTGACTTCAAAATTATACTTATAAATAATGAGTAGAAAATTAATGACGCATGTGAAAAATATCTCATCATCATTTCAGCCTTGAGCCTCCCCCATTAGACTGTCACGAAGTACGATCCTGAGCCACTTGCATTTAAACAGAAACATCCGTTGGCTTCCGATAGAATGCGGGATAACCATCTCAATTCTCCAGGCCCAAATATCCAGGCCATTAAACGGCCAGCAGCGTTAAAGGTGCGAGGTGTCGGGAAGAACTGCGGTTGCCAACCCGCTTACCAACTATACGTGGCAGCTATGGCAAAAACCCCTCATTTATGGAAAATACCTACATGAAAAAAACCTTAAAAGACCAACGGACGGTAGAACACGATATTGAAACATCCCAAAGAAGTTTACAAACGAAAATCATTAAGAGTATATCGCCTTGTAGGCGGTAGCAATAAATGAAGTTTGTCTCAATAAGACGCCTACGAATTCGTACCATCTATGTTTTCATCTTATTTACAACAGTAATTCGATCGTAATTGTAGCAATTCGTAACCGCAAAGTCGAGCTCGTTATTTAATTAAATTGTACATTCATTGCTTATACGGCCGCTGGCCTGGTGACACGTGGACCTTTTTTGTCGTGAGCTTTTTTAAATTGCTTTTAAGTCATCTTCCCCTTTAGGAATTGCAAACGGCTCGCTATAAATGGCTTTATGGAATCTCACAATCAGTATTGTGACTGAATTTTAAAGATGGAAGAAAAGTTCGTTCGAAGAATTATCTGGTGATAAATTTCATGTCATCGAAACGGGGTTATGCTACTTTTTGCGTCTTTTTAGCGAGAGGAAGATATGTCACTGAAACTGAGGTACTCAAATAACACCAATTTTTGGAATTAGATTACAATTCCATATACTGCTATCCCTTTCTTTATCACACGTTATATATTATCTGTCACATTCAATTATATATGTCATATAATGTAAAGCGATTACAATTTTTAAACGCTGTGCAGTATGGACATGCGACAAATGAACTGATTCGAAATAACATACATAGTTAGTATATTTATGTTTCACAAGAGAATAAAGAATGGATGTAAAAGTAAAGTTGTAAGTGTTGCCTATTATAATTATGTCCGGCTGCTGAGCATAGGTCTCGTCTGTACAGAGTGTAATGGGGCATAGTCCATCACGCAAACCAATTGCGCATTGAGAGACTTCATATGAAGTGGAGAGGATATATATCCTCTAAATATATTTTTTGTTATTATTTCGAAAACAGGCTACATGATTTCATGATGTTCTCCTTCATCGCTGAGCACGTGATAAGTTAGCGTTTAAAATTAACAATTTCATTGGTGCCGGCACCGGGATTTGAACTAACTTTGCTCGACAAAGTTAAAAGTGAGCGAATGAATGGGTATTCCTATCATTAAATATTATACGTTTATATTAAGCGTTTCTTTGGCGCGTAAAATGTCGCCTGGAATATTTTAGTAATACCTACTAATACTAATATAATAAATGTGAATGTAAATTTGTTTGTTACGCTTTCACGCCAAAACTACTCAACCGATTATGATGAAACTTTGTACACATATTCTTAAAGGTGTTAAAAAGGACATATGATTTATTAAAAAAAAAGATATTTATTTAAGGCCTCAACGCGGGCGGGCCAAAAGCTAGTCTTACATAAAATGCTTTATCGTATCTCACAGTAAAAAGAAATTAATGGGAGACTATTCACCCTTACATATATAATACTTGATTGATGAATTTTCGTGTTCAGCACGTACCACACTGTGCCAGACTCTGTTTTTTTATTTGTATTCGTGCTTAAAAGAAGTAAACCCGCTGTCTCATTAAAAAAACTATTAAGTTTGAAATATACCGTATTGTTGTATACCGCATTGTTGTATATAGGTCTTAAACAACAATGTTTTTTTACAACAAATTAATTTTACATCATTTTCCATTTGTTTGCCAACAACAGTAGCGCGTTGTTGGAGAAGTTAATGTTGCTAATATTTATATTTATTCTGTTTAGCAAATATAAATATATACCGATATTAATCTCATGATCAAGAAATGAAGACTTATTTTAGAAAGAAGGGAGCAGCATTTATTATTATCTAAATATATTAAAACCTTAAATCGAAGATCATGAATTACAACTAAATATTTATCCTCTTCAAACCTATCAATTATGTTAGGTTATTACTAAAATTGGAACTTGAATAATATTGATAATTGAGACAAGGGTAGATCAGAGAGCCCCTAGAAAGGATTTCCTTCGAGGAAGTGGTTTTCTTTATTATTAAGGGGAGTAAAATTACAGGATTTGTACAGGATTAAAGGAAGTGCAGTGACTGACAGTTGCGCGAAGGTTTTATATTTTAAAAGGACATATGCACCTTTTAAAGCTTCAAACGGTTTTAGTTGCAGTTAATTTAAAAGAAAATTAATTATTGAACGATATTATAGCAAAAATATTTTAATTTTAAAAATATTTTACGATTATAAAGTAAAATAATTTTATAAAAATAGTAGTACACAATACAATGAAATAGAAAGAAAAACTGTAAACGAAAAGAACACAACACATTAAAACACTTTTTGTTTTTATGCTAATATAAAAAAAGAAGAATACGAACCGAGAAGCTAGGCCATTATAACGCAATAACATTTCGAGAAACGGCAATCTGTGAAGTTCATTAT